TGCTATTCCTAAGTTCCCATAAATTCTGATTCATATGCTCAGGCCCATGGGGGCAAGGATCTTAAAGGAGCTACATGCTGTATTCCTCAGGGATTTCAACCAATGAAAGCGTTGACAACCCTCGGGTCTCCCTGGCTGCCCCCTACATGTAGTCTCCTGCATGTGTAGCACCCCACTACTGTTTCCAGTGCATTAGATAGTGAGATTTATCCCGCTTTCCTTACTTATGCCTAATTCAGAGGGCTCAGCTTCTAGCAGACTTGCTGATACTGTGACTCCACACTTTTGAGTTTTCCAGAGTTAGATATTCAGTCTAAGAAGATTCTTCTCTTGGGAAAGACTTGAGACTCTGAGACAGCCAGTTTAAAAGATATGAAATTGATGGTTTGGACATCTACCACATGAGCAAGAAGACAGAATTATCTTTTATTTTGGCAAGAAAGGAACCAAGTGTAAGCATGGCAAGAGAAGGAAATGGAAAACACACACACACACACACACACACACACACACACACACACACACACACACACACGAATAGATAACTATAAAATCGGATTTCCCTCCCACTCTCTAGTCCCTTCCAGAGACATTGTTTCACTATTTCTGTGTTTCCTGGGGAGATCTTTGAAATTACTCTCTCCTTATCACAACTAACTTCAGCTGTTGTGTCTTAACTTTCATGAATCCTAACTCCTTCTGCAAAACCTGCCATTAAGCTGCACCGAGGCAGCTCTCAGCAGGAGTGTTAGCTTTCCCATGTGACTGGCTACCACTTAGCCACTTTGTGGATTCTGCACACCAGGGTGCACCCAGAGTACTTAAGAGCATTTCTGCCCTGATGCAAAACAAATGATCTTTCTAAGCATCCAGAGTTTTAGCAAGAGGAAAACTCCTCAGATATACTGTCTGCACTCTTCCTCACCCAGGACTCTGCCCTTCCATCTTCTAGATAGTTATTGCTTGAAATCTACTGTGTACTAAGAAGCAAAATATGAGAGGGAGGGTGGGAGGGAGGAGGAAAGAGAAGAGGGAGAGAAAGAGAGATTGGGGAGGGGGAAAGTTGGGAATTAATGTCTGGAACATTCTGCTCTAAAGTTGAAATTATCTTCTACGAGGCTTCCCTTCTACATGTAAAAGATGGAGATAAAAAAATTCTACTACATGGACTTTTAAACAGAGATTTGAATGAAATGAAGCATGCAATTTTATGAAATGACATCTGTGCCTGCTACAGTGCATGGTCCATAATAGATACTAAGTAAACGTTATTTACCCCCAGCCCTTTGAGGCAATCCACCCTTGTTCTTCTTTATAATAAGCAGCAACTCCTGTGTCTATACTGCCCCATATAATGGGCTTTCAAGACACTAGTGTCAGAAATCCAGGGCTCAAAACCTAGGCCAATAGTTTTCTTTCTTTATCTCTTTCTTCTTTTCTTTTACCTCTGATGAAAGATCTCTGATAAATGCCATGGATTCTTTTAAAATGAAAGTCTGTGGTTTGGGGATGTGGCTGAAATGGTAGAGTGCTTGCCCAGTATGCATGAATCCTTGGGTTTAATCCCTAGTACTACATAAACTCAGTGTGGTAGTACATATCTACAACACTAGCACGTGGACAGTGGACATAGGAGGATCACGAGTTCAAGGTTAGCCTGAGTTCCTTGAAACCTAAAAAATGAGTGAAACATAACTTTAAAAAATGAGGGCCTAGGCTACTGACCATTTCCTATTTTTTACTATGTGAAACTCTATGATCCTGTCACTCACTTTTAGGTCTTCCTTTTATGGATATTGAATAAATCAAAATATACTTCACTATAAAGTTCTATGGGCTAGTGAATATAAATCTCCTATGCTGGGGCTGGAGAGATGGCTCAGAGGTTAAGAGCACTGACTGCTCTTCCAGAGGTCCTGAGTTCATTTCCCAGCAACCACATGGTGGCTCACAACCATCTGTAATGTGATCTGGCACCCTCTTCTGTATACATAATAAATAAATAAATCTTAAAAAAAAAAGAAATCTGTGGTATATTTCCCTTGGTGGGGGAAATACTGCTTTCAAAAGAAACAATTTTAATTTCAGGAAAGATAGCTTGCCAGGTATCACTGTACAATCAGAGGCAATATTCCGTGTTCCCTGTAATTAGCCATCGTTCTTTCCTGTTAGAGACCGACTCCGGACAGCTGTGTCTTGAATTTTGTGTGACCTTCCTTACTTTATCAAACCTTGCAAAAAACAGGTTCCTGGCCTAACCGCGGGCTGTACAACTTCCTGGAGTACCTGCTAATCATCCAGCTGCAGGGGCCTGGGACCAATGCGACCTCACCCTTCCTTAGGAATTTTCCATTCTTCTCTCCTTTTGCTTCCCCTGCCCCCCTCCCTGCCTGAAGCCCTGCTTATAAGCCTCAATACCCAGTCAATAAACGAGACCTTGACGCGACTCAGACTGACTCTGTCTTCCCTTATTGCGCCTGGTCTCCTTTCTCTCTCATCCCCATTGATCTTTCAGGAGGTGCCTCCTCGGGTCTCCCCAATAACCTGGCCCGCGGGACGGGTCACTTTCCTGTTTGGTCAGGAGCCTGGTCTCGGGACCATACAGACTACAGGGAAGTGAACTCTGAAGATGTCATCCATGATCTCCTTTGCCTCTGCAATCTTTTTCTTCCTTCTTCCCCCACTAATCCTCCTGAGCTCCTCAGCTGCTTTCCTTCATGCTGAGACCCCTCAACACTGGACTCCTGTGAAGCAGTAAAACAGAACTCTATCAGAAAAAAAGTTTCCAGCGGACACAGGATGTTCAGAACACACGATGATCTAACAAGTAATTTTTTTCTTCTTCTGCTAATAGTCAGTTGATAATGGCTCTGTGAACAAGAGTTCTGGGTAACTCTTCCTTACCTCTCTCTTCCATTCCAAGCTTCACCCTCTCCTTCCCTCAGCCTGCTCATCTCTGAGTTTTAATCTTTTTCTCACTCCACAGATTGCCTCTCTCCTTGATGGTTTACTTAGTCACTACCACATACAAAACCCTCTGTTACTTTATGAGTAGCATTTCAAAGATTAAAATGTATCTGAATTTTACTCTCAAGGAACTCATATGCCAGTCATGTTAATTTGACCTCTCATATCCACTAGTGTTAGAGATGTGATACACACCTGTGCAGCCAAACCCCAAGGCAACAGGCATTAATAGCATAGATCAATATTTTTTAAAACAAAAAACCACAGCCTATTACATCACAGGATCAATTAGGCCGTGACCAACATTAAAAGAAAAAAAAAATTTAAATAGAAAATATTTGAGTGACTCATATAAGGATACGTTGCTTATTTCTTCAATTTCAATTTCAATTATATGTATGGTGTGTTTGTATGTACATGAGAGAGACAGAGAGAAAGAAAGAGAGCAAATTTGCATATCGGGAAGTGTTTGGTACTGTGTGCCTCACTCAAAACTTTGAAACACTGGCTTATGGAAGGACCACATGAAGACAGACTTTTCAAACATACCATGCCTGTGTCAGTGAAGATCTGGATTCAACTGGTGTGCAGTGGGACTGGCAAGTCCCTGTTTCAGAGACTGTGGGGTGCAGCTGTTGGTGGTCCAGGCAGGGGACACATTGCTAAAAGGAGACACTGTCCTCAGGGAGACCCCGGGTCAACTCCTCTAGGCACTCCTTTGTGAATTCAGCGCTGACAAGGACCAATGAGGTGGTCAAGTTTTCCCTGTTCTGGCTTTTTCCTTTCAGTTGACAGCCTAGGTACTTTGCCAAGTGCTGCTGCTGTCCAGCTCGCAGGTGGTGCTGGATGTAGATCTCAAGAGACTACAGAAACATCAGAGCAGTCCTGCACAGGTGTCCCACGGTTTCTAAGGTTGGGCCTCATTTTCTCATTGTATTTTCCCATTCAGTATCCCTGCAATGGGCAGCCAGGTGCTTGCTATACAGAGGGCTTTCACAATAGGGTGGGAAGACTTTGATTGGTTTCAGCTTTCACCTGTTGTCACGTTGCAGCAGGCTTCTACCACCAGCGCCCACTTTGCTGCCTAGTCCTGCAATCCTCCTCCATTTCTTCTGCGAACCCACCCTGTGTAGGGCATGTATTGACCATCCTAGAACGAAGGGTTCATGATTTTCTTTTCCCGATCACAATCCCTCAGGGGTTCCCATTGCCTGGACAAGCTCTCACTGCTGCTCTGCTGTGACCTCCAGGGTCTTCATGATGACTTGTTACCTCTCTCCACTGATTTCACTTCTCTTTAGGATTTGCTTAAATGCCGCTTCTTCCTAACCCCAGGGAGAATCATCTCCCTCCTCACCCCCACCTCTCTCTTTTCCACTCCCCTTTGCTTATGCCTCTTCACAGTATTGCTGAGCATAAATTGTGCTCTGCCTTGTGGATTGGGGGCAGGAAACCAAACTGGGTCCTGACCACATTGAACACACAGGACAGGGTCAGGCTGTTTGTCTTCTCTGAGCCTCAATTTGTTCATTATGGTGATGGAGACCGGAGGAGACGGTCTTTAAGAAATGCACATGGTGCTCAGCAAATGCTCATTTTACTAATTTTGATTCCATAGAGATCCCGTTTTTTATTCCCTCTGCTGTCTCCTTCATTTAATCTTTTATGTTTCTTGTTAGCACTAAACTATTACCCGTCTTTGAATTGCCTTCTAATTTTTAAACTCTCCCACAGTCGGTTGGTGTTGTTTTGTGTCTCTTTTCTACTCTTATCAGGAAAGAACCTGGTTCTATGGCTGAGGGAAAGAGGCCCAGGAGGGCCTGGCTGAACCGTTTGCAGAGCCTAGAAGACTCCCCACTGACTCTAACTACAGAGATGTGTGGGCTCCTCAAGGGTGTCCGCTCAGAGTTGGGTCTCTCCAATTATGTGCCAGTTGATTGGAGGGTGTCAGGCCCATCTTGCAAGCCTACTCCCTTCTCTTTGGAAGGAGGAGCCCCTTGGAGTCTGTTGGTTAACGGGAAAAGTGCTTACTCTGGGAGGAAGGCGGGGCAAGCCGGAACAAGCTGTCCCTGGGAACCTGCAGGCTCCCTCACTCCGTTTCGGAACCCCATTCTCCTCCGGGGAGACAGGAGGGGGTTCCAAGGGACTTGGATACAGTCCCTTGGCGGAGACGGTGGAGACACGTAGCTGCTTCGGGGCTGATCCTGCGGAGCGGGGCGCCCCTCCCCGCCCCCATTCCCCTGGGTTTCACTCCGGTTCTTTGCAAAGGGAGGGGACAGCGAGGGGGCCCTGCGCATCCCCCTTCTTGGAGCTGCAGGCTAGGAGCCCTGTGCCCTCGGGAGCCCCGGCAGCTTGCCCTCGGCCGCACGGGGGTGCAGGCTGTCCCCGCCGCCCCCACCCGAGGCTCGCCCTCGCTCCCTCTTTCCAGCTCCACCAGCCGAAGCGCGCACACCGGGGCTCCCGCACGTGGGCGCGCGGGAGGCGGCGGCCGCTGCTGCCCGAGCCCAAGCCGGAGCAGGGCAGATCGCCCTCCATGCTGCGGGAGCCGCGGCCGCCTCGCGCTCAGCCTCTCGCCCCAGCCGAGCACTGCGAGCGGGCGAAGCCCCGGAGGGGAACCGGACGGTGACGCGAGCAGCGCAGCGGACTAAAGCGACCCGGGTTCTGAGCGAAGGGCGCCCGCTTGTCGGGAGCAGGCAGCCTGGCTGGGTCGCTCGCCCTCGGCTCCTACCAGCGCTGAGGGCTCCGGGCGGTGCGATGTCGCCACGCTGCTTCTAGGCGGTGGCCGGGGACGCCTCCTGCAGCCACTCGGCCCGCACCGGCGGCCCCCAATTCCCTTCCACCCGCAAGTCCTCGGATCACTCCCGGAGGACGCGCCGGGCCACCCGGCGCGGAGCGGGCGCCAAGTCCGAAGTCTGTCCCCAGCACAGCCAACTTCCGCGGGAGCCCCTCGGCCCGCTGCAGCCTGCGCCAGCCCCGGGAGCGATGCGCCCCCAGCCGGGCGACGCTCCCTCTGCCAACTCGCCACCCATGGGATCCACTGCCCTCGGCCGCCCCGCTCGGAGCGCGTAGCTCTCGCCGCGCGGCCCAGGAGAGGAGTGAGACGCTAAGAGGGTTCGCTGACCCTGCGTGCACCAGACTGCTGTGAACCCCTGAAGGGGAAGCATCTGTATTTGAGGGTGAGTAGCCCGCTAGTGGTGGTGTCCTTTCCCCCGCCCCAGATATCAGTTTGCAGGGATGCCGGGCAGACTCCAGAAAGTTGGGTCTCCTGCACCTATCCTGGAATTGGCAGCGGAAAAAAAAAAAACATTGGTTCCTCAACCCAATTGCCTTCTTTACTAAAACCAAGGAGGAGCACCCTTCCCAAGGAGAAACGGGGCTTTCGAGAACAGGTCACAGACTATTCCCCATCAAATGGCCATTGGGGCTTTTCAGCCTGCCCGCGCATTCAGTAAGCACCCAGCTTAAGCGCTTGGAGATCCGCTGCTGCTGGGAGAATCTGATGGGCAACCCCCTGTCCCTAGGAAGACGCTCAGTGCACTTCATTAAAGCGAAGTGACTGCTGGAATATTAAGAGCGAATGTGGGAAAAGGCGACCAAGGGTACTAAAGAAAGGGAGCAAGGGAGGAGAGGTTAGGAAGGAGGGGTCAGAAGAGGTGGCTGAAGGAAGAGAGAGTAGTGAATTATTTCCTGCTGCTGGATGGAGCATCTGGGGTACTTTTTACATGATGAAGGTTTGCAGCATGTTGATATAGGGCAGGACGACCTAGACCAACAGGTGGCTTAAGCATGCTTCCTGTAGATGGGTTCCTGGAGGGGAACCACTCGCTCTCCCACGGGGCTTTGGCTGGCTCTATCACTTGTATGATAACATTTGAACACGGGCAAGGAAATGGGCTTTCTGAGCTCCAACCCAATTTGGGCTGTGGGAGGCATCCAAATGCCTCCTGTAGGAAAACAGCGGCTCTTTTGTGTGTCTGACTGAGGTTTCAACATACAGGCAACTGAGGGGTCTTTCAGCTGGGCGACTTGGACTTGTCTGGTCCTTGGACTTGAGCCCTGGCTTTCTTCCTTGGTCCCTGGTGGCGGGTATTCTCCTTCCCTAGGCTAGGCTGCGAGCCAAATCTCAGTTTCGCTGCTCTGTACTCCGGTGGTAGGAGGGGGCATTTCAAGTGTACCAGGAGCCTTGCTTGAGTGTGTACTTTACCTGCGTCTGTCCCTTGTACTTTTATTGTGAAACTTAAACACGGACAGGTGTGGGTGTGTGCGTGGTATGTGCAAGTGAGTGTGCGGACAGGTCGAGGTGGATGGAAGAAATTGGCGAGAGGGAGAGCATTGCTGCTGCCTAGACTTGGGAGAGGGCGTGTTTGTGCTTTCACTTTTCTTCTGAACCCACCATCCTTCCGGTCTTCCCAGGAGAAGTGCTGTTAGCACTCCATAGTAGCATCTACAGGAAGTATTCAATGTCTCCATTTCGGTTATCCCAGGTACAGCATAGGGTCCACCATCCCTGATCACCGGGAAACTAAACTTTGAAAAGGCAGTACTTAGGGAGAAAGGTGAGGTTGGAAAGCAGAAAGGAAGAGGACAGGGTGCATATCCTTGTATGTATCTGGAGGGGGCCTCAGCCTGAGCCTGCATCTACAGCAGGCTTTCAGCTTTTATTTGGTGTTTAAGAATGTTAGCTGGATGGCTTTGAGATCCATGGAGATTTGAGGAGGAAAAGCTGTCCTAATACACACTTAGCAGACTCTGCCATCAGGTTTTAAGGAGATGTTTGAATCCTAGAATAAAATGGTAGGCATTCTAAAGTGCAAAAGAACCCTCAAACATTAACACTGGCACCCATATTTCCCATCCAGAAGAGGGTCTTAGTATTAGGGCTCATTGGCCTTGCTGCCTCTGTAAGTATATCTGAATTTCATCAGGTAGTCCAAGTTTAGTTTTCCACTGGGTGAGATCCCTCCTCACTCTGGGTCTCTGTCTGGGGATTGCTCATAGTTATCAAATAATGAGGGGTCAGGCTTAACTTTTAGCATACACTGATTAGCATGGGACCCAGGTTTTGTCATCGACACAGGGACTTCCATATTAGAAGGGGAGCCTGGCACTGAGGTGTCAAAAAGATGAAAGGGCAGAAAAGTATTATGGCTGACAAGAATATGCAGAGAAATTTAAGGACCAAAAAAAAAAAAAAAAGAAGGTAAAGCAGAAAAATGTAGATAGAGAGCCATGAGAGCAAATGCAAGGGGAGTGGGAAAGATACCAAGACAGAGATAGAGAGAATACAGACAAAAATCATAGGAAAGAATGGAAGAAGAGTATAGAGGAGAAAAGCATAGAATAGGAACATGGAGAGTGGAACATCCATGTGAGGGGCCAGAGGAGACACAGGAGGTGGATTCACTTGCTCTTTGTATCTAACTTATATTAACCACACCACCATTTTAAGGAAGCTGGCATAACCTGTATCCTTTAGTGGCCAGCCCTTGGTTGGTGTGTTTCTCTGGGGAGGTATGGATGACTCAGAAATCATACACTGTCTAGGAACACAGCCGCAGGGCGGATGGTCAGATATAGGGAAACTAGATTCTTGGTAAATGCACAAATGTGCAAGTGCTGTTGTCCTCCCTTCCCACTCCTCCAAGAAGACATAAAACTCACAGGACAGGAGAATGGGGACACAAGAATCGTTAACTAACCATTTCTGCCAGTGATGATCTGTCCTTTATTCAAAGAAGAGTAGAGTCTCTGGGAAGGGCAAGTGATGGGAGCTGCTCACTCCCCTGAGAGTGTGATCCAGTGGAGACAGGGTTGTACACATTTAGTATTCCAGTTGAAGGTCATCACTGGACCCTCCTCTGAAAAATACAATGTACACCTCTAACACCCTTCTCTAATTTGTTCCTGTATTTTCTCCTGGGAGATACGATGAACACATCCTTCTTGTATCACATCCTCCCCAGAAAAGCTCATTTCTTGTGACTATCTCTTGATAAAAGGACAAGCCCAAAGAAGCACTCAGGCAGGGTTACCTTTCCATGAACCTCATTAATCACAAGAACTCCAGGGGACAGCAGACCAGCTCCTCTGGTTGACCTTGCAAGGGGTGTTTGCAGCTAAGGGATACTGGACAGTCAGCAGGGCCTCATTCTGGCCATTCCCTGTATACAGTTAGTCCATTTGATGCAAAAACTAATGCCATGGGCACTGTTATCATTTGCATTTCATGGAGGGGGAGTCTGAGACTTAGTGACATTATGTAACTTTCTCCAGAGAAACACATCTTTAGCTGTGGTTCAGCTAGAAGGCAGAAGTGCTGATGTTTTGAACCCACATTTTGGTTGACTTAAGCCTGAGGACCCGTTACATATCAGACTAGCACCTACTCCATTTATACGGATGGAGTCAGTATGGAGATCTTTCCTAAGCACTCCTACACTTTACCAGTTGAGGGGTAAAAGTGGCTGAAGAAATTGGAGTATGATGTGCCAGAAAGCCCATAGCCATCAAATGCCAAATTGAGACCTATACCTAAGTTTCAGTCTCTCTCTCTAGCTTACCAGTAAATTACTCTATGTAGCGCTAAGCACCAAGGTCATATAAGCCTCTTAGTCAAAATGTAAGTAAGTTCCTGGACCCTCCTAGAGGCTCACTGAATTAAAACTTTAGGGCAGAGAGCCCAGAAATCTGTATTTTTAGTCCATGCCCCAAGCCTACATCTGCACAGTACCATTTGCCCCAGTTATTCACAGCTCTTGGATTCTCACATTGTGGAGCCCTTCCAGACAGCTTCAGGAGAACTTCAAGCCCCTCCTGCTTCAAGAAAATTTAAATACACAAAAACCGTGGACTCTGTATAGCTAGTGCACCAATCAACTACATAAGGAAACAGACCAGCTCACTTAAAAATATCTGTGGCAGCACTTTAAGAAGTGCCACAAACACGTGGATCTTTGTTATATTTGTATTTTTTTGTCTTGTACCAGATTGGAAAGCATGTATCATTGTTGGTATTTGTATTAATACTTGACCCAAAAATGATATCAAGAGCCAGGCCAAGGCCGTCTCCCAGTTGTAAGACTAGTTATGCTCTGAGAAACATGCCTTCGTCAACAGGATTCCCATTCCTTTGAGCAGATCACTGCTTCATTCTGCAGGTAAAAAGGAAGCGTCACCCATGCTCTGTCTCTTTCTGGCCCACTTACATTATTTTCTCAGTGACCTCAACATCTTTTCTCTTCTGTTTCATTGAAATATGGCCAAAGGTGCCAGACGTCTTGTCCGACAAACTATTTTGTCATCTCTCCCTTTTCAGGTCCAAATTTATCTTTTCAATCTGTTGCTTTTAACCCTGACCTCTTATTCAAGGGTGGTAATTGAGCCTTGGGTAGCTGTGATAAGCCACTGTGTGGTACATGCATTTTAGATGGCTGTAGTCATTTGTGAATAGAATGCAAAGAAGAGAATCATTTATATTTACAGTGTCTGCATTCTTAATATGCTGGCGTTCATTTTTCTGTTTCAAAATGCTGAGAATTTCGGGAGGTGTATATAGCAGTGGAGTAATAGAAGATGGCTAAAATGTGAGCACTTGAGTAGGGACAAACGTGTGATAAAGCCCACCTCCAGTTTGCTTGCTAGTACTATGTTGTCTTGTTTATTTAACTTTGCCAAAACTTCATTTTTTTTCCTGGAAGTTGAGACAATTGTAGGCTGCCAAGTCTTACCCTCTTATGTGGCTAAGGTGCCCCAGCAAAGGTCTGGTGTTCCTCTAGCTAGTGTTGTCTGCTCTAGCTGAACATCAGTCACATGGCAGGCTCTATTTAACCCAGCGAAAAAGTGCCAACAAGGAGCTTAAGCAACTTCTCTGGGTTATATGAAGTCTAAAATTCTGAATTTAACATCTTTCCATCTAAACTCGTCCACCCTTCTATTGCATTGATACAAATGATCATTCCTTCCTTAAATCTTAAGTCTGAGTGTTGATTTGTATTTCTATAAAACCCATAGTGGAGACTGTCCAATAGAACAGTGGAGATCTGCTGAGACTCTTGGATGCTTGCTACGTGGTTAAATGATCTCCAAATAGTTACTTTGAGTTCCCAAGTGTTGTCAGGGATTAGTCCCTCCTGTTATTTCTTGGCTGAATTATTAAAGCACAGATACTGTTTCTTTG